CACAGTGCTGTCGACACCGCGGCGCGGTGTCGGTCCCATTCATCGCGGGACGATCGGCGGCGGCACCATCCCATCTCTGTTCTGGCACTGTGACCGCGGCAACGCAAGGCATACTGAGGGCAGTATGTATTGTACAGCCCACCGCTAAAGTAATGTAGGGTTTTACCAATCTCAACGGTTGGCTTTGACTGGCGATTGTTTAATGCAGAGTGATCGAAAAGAAGATGTCAATAGCTAAAGCTGCAGCTGCAAGGGTGACGATACATATAAGCTACATTCAATGTTTCATTGTAGTCTGGCTAATCGTTCCTAAGCTTCAGAAGCAGAACATACCCATGACTGAAACCCTACATTACTTCTGCTGTGGACTGTACACGATACAGAACTCAGCAACGGCTTGAAACAACACAGCAGGGCACCATCGAGAGCGACACGGCATGGCACGGGACAACACGTCACTGCGCGGCTGTTGGGTGATCACGGCGTGATCACGGCGTGATCACGGCTCGTGGGCCGTGATCACGATGTCAGTATTTGTGCGCGTCATGCTCGTGCCGCCTTGTCCGACGATCGCCGAACTTTTAGCGTCAGTACTGACGTGAAGCACGCTACAAGACATACGTCGGCATCGCTTTTCTTCACCCGTTTGTAACAAGATCACGAAAAGAAACGCACACATTTTCTTGTACGTAACAGCATTGCATGGACAAATGCGATACGTGCCAAGATCGTCACTGAAGATGGATGAAACAAAGGAAGCTCCGATCGGTTTCGTCGAACCTCAAAACCAGCTTGGCTCGACAGCAATGCTCTGTGTCGCCTCCAGGGCGGTTCGAGCGGCAGCCCACGAACACGTTACCTGAGTGAATAATGACCACTCAAGATCTGCATCAGCGATGGCGGTGCGGTAGCTTTTTAGGGAAGTCGGGACGCGATGCACGCCAGGCTGCCGGCCGAGCAGTCGGCCTGCCTATACCAATGTGGGTGCGACCGGCACGCCAACAGACTGCCTTCGTGTCAACAGGTGCTGCCGAATCAACAAACAACTCCAAACGTGTGAGACATTTTTGTCAGCGGGAAGCTGGTCGACTCAGACACAAATATTTTAAACTGGCTGTTCAAGTCATTATTTCTTTCACAGGATATCGATAATAACAAACATGAACCACAACAAAGTTTCTTGTAAATCGAACATTCGTTCAGTTAGAAGGCGTGAAAGCGTGAGCAGATTTCGGACACCTGTCAGCACCAATGCGTGACCGCCTTCCATCTATCAATGGAACTCAAGACCCCGAGCTGGTACCGTCTAAACAGGTGCTGCAGTTGACATGAAACATCGGACATGCTTCAGGACATTGACAGGTTTCACACTGCACCACCTGGGTCGAGCGCGATCATTCGACACACGATCCCTGTTTTCAATGTGTTTAGATTTCTGTTTCAGTGGTCACGACGTCGCTGAACGAACTGTCCAATTGATACACGAAATTATAAAATGACAGCATCAACCCTTGAGAACGATGGCTCTGCGAGCTTCATGTTTGTGTCGTTCAGAAGTGAAACAAGTCTAGACTACAAATCCGATGCGGTGAACATGCAACATATAAATTCACCTCAATGGTCGCTCATGCCACATGTCTGTTCCACCCTCCGTAAACATAATGGATCGTGACAATTTTGGAATCATTCCCATTCGGAAGCATGATTCATTCATTATCGACGAGTTCAAACACCGAAGACTCTACCTCATACACACAAGGTGTCCAACGGCTCCGTTGCTCAACATGGATATGTCGCACTAAACCTATACGAAAACGGTGTAAGTGGCTGTGATACTAAATGTTATAATGAATCAATGCCCGGTCGGTCAGACTGCCGGCCAGGATCAGACGTCTCAGCCACCTCGGCCTCATAATAGGCTGGGTGAACTGTAAGTGTGAAGTCGTGCTGCCGGCTGAGGTAAACGTTCATGCACAATTTTTTAGTGCCGCTCTGCAGTCCCTCTTAGTTATTAGGATAACAATGGTAGTGGATATCAACCAAGAACGACAAACAAATGAAGCGATAGATGACAAATTGAAGCAATTCCATGCATAAGCACATAAATAAAAGGAATACTTATCGCCATTCTCAGCTTCCACTTTGCAATACCAAGCTGGTTTTGGAAAGTGCTAAATCTCGCTCCAAAACACGCAGAGAAAGAGAAACTCCAACGCTCCCAGACGTTCACGTGACGTCATTATGCATCACGAATAGCGCTACAGAGGTCCCAGCAGTTTCCCGTCACATCCCTGCGGCATTTCCGAGCGCACGGGCTGGCCAGACCAGTGTCAGAGTGCCGTAACAACACTGATAAACTGCGCGGGACGGGCGGGGACAATGACGGCACAGTCGCGTAATCGGCCGGACGGAAGGCGTGCCGTAATCGGGGCATTTCCGGGACGCCATCTCGACGCGTCAATGGGTCGGCCCATGCGTAGCCGCTGGGTGCACACAATATTTTCCCATTGCAAAGTTACTCAGATCATCTTATCGAGGCGTTTTAAAGTCTGCAAGATATGCAATCTGCAGCTTATCGTGATGATTATGTCGATAAACAGCTTTTGAGCACGAGCGACGATAGAATGGCAGGCTGGCAGCATTTCAAACAGGTTTGTGTGTGAGATTAGGATTATCTTCTCACGGTCACTGGACAGCTGTCCACGGGAACAGGTTTGTCCAGTTGGCGTATCCGTATTTTCAGCATTTGACTGCGTTGATCAGACTATACTATGATGCATGGTTAAATTTGATGAGTCATTGGGCTGGCCATGCATCGTAAATACCTTGGTCCAATCTCTTATCCATGCCATGGCGCGTCAGCGGATACGATCATTACATATGCGGTAAATTTGTGTGTCATTACTGCCAATAATATATGTCATCTGCCAATAATATGGCTAGCGCAAACTTGATTTCTGGGTTACAGTTCACGAACAACAATTTTTAGATACGTACCGCCGTGCTAAAGCTACAGCAGGGGCTTGTTTTCACGCCCCTCGGAAGGGGGCGCTTTACCCCGGTACCGGGGCAAAGCGTCCATTTAATTTTTTAATCACTTTTTCCCTTTTGACACGTTACCAGTGGGTGAGTCATGAATTTTGTCCGTGGGGTTATGAAGACAAATGTTCAGTGTTTGACCTGAGCGCTAAGCTGTCCTTCGTTGTCCCCTAATTTAATCACTATCACGAGTCAAACGTTAACGGGTGCGCCTTACCCCGGTCTACCCTACCGAAAATGTTGTGACGTCATAAGAACAGTCGCTACTTTTTCAGTCATTCGAATGACTATATCCTGGTCGTTTTAGAGATATTTTGTTAATTTCATGGCCAAAAATTCATGGCCCCCCTGAATACGCCACTATCTACGTGACCATAAAAAATGCGTCACGTGACCGATATATGATATACAATTTTCGTGACCTAGGATGACCTGGCCTTGACCTGAAAAATTCGAACTAAAAGTTCGGTAGTCGGTACCCTCAGGGTATCTAAGGCATATATCAAGGAGTGCGTAAACCAAAAATGAGCCTGATCGGACTTGTCAGCCGGCGCCCAGAGCCTAAATTGTTAACAAGCAAAAATGCCGATAATTTTTACTTTGACCTGACCTGTGACGTCATCGGTGACCTTGAGGTCAATGAAAATAGGTTTCGCCCGACAGTTTTTCAGGGCTATCAGACGCCGTTTGAATTTTGACGATCAGCCCAGTAGTTTCGGAGATAGGAGGGGGGCTCTGGAGAGCCCCTCCCCTCAGTGCAGTCACTCGCGTTATGGAAAATACACCAGTCATGCGCGGTTTAAGGGCATGAATAGACGCAGCTCAACGAGTTCTTTAAAATGGGTATATCACTTTTCCCATACAATGCGTTTTTGACCCCAAAAATTCAAAAACTATATTTTTGAAAAACAGGTGAGAAAATCATTTTTTTCTTTAAAATTTTCTTAAAACCGGAACACATGTTATAGAGCTTAATTAGAACATTAGATGTCCCAAACTTAAACTTTCTACCTTTATTTTTTACCCCAAATTGTAAAAAAATAACTCCAACATGTATAGGGCATGGTGACGTCATACACATTTTCGTGAATTTGAGGCACTTCTGAACATCGCATGTGAATATAAATAGCAGCATTAGATTCCTGGGACAAAGCTCGTCTAGAAAAGTGCATTTTTATGTCAAAAATAAAAATGGAAATTTTTTGGGGGGCGATACGACCATTTGTTCTCGAAATACCGGGGGGGGGGTCGGATCCGACCCCTCCCCAGGCTGTCATGGACTCATGGGTACTGAAATAGCCCAAGCGGTGCTGGGTTAAGCGCAGTTTCAATTTAAGCTTTCCATTGTACCTGTACCCGTACTATAGGTGCTCCGGTATGCGATGACACACCGCGCGCAATTCTATCGACCCATCTCATGGCGACGGATACAAATGACTTCTTTACTCATACAGTACATATCGATACTCAGACATATTTTTCACGTGCTAGATCGCGTTAGGTAGGTACTTCGACACTATAGGTTCGCTTTTAGGCCCATTTTTCAGTCAAATCAACCAACATGAGCCCTTAGCAGTTGACTCTTGGCAGCACTCATCATCGACGGTATCTAAAAGTAAAAGAAGGAACTATCTCAAAAGGCTCATTTACTTATGTTTTTAGATGACAAAAACCAAATAGCGTCAGAATATCTTTACTATCTGTCCAGCTCATTTGTTCTCGTCACCTCTCACAATTAATAAAAAAAGGAATTTCTAACTTGATGTTTCAAAAATATCTACGCCAGATTTTAAAAAGCTGTGTGCTCGCCCTTGACACCACACCGTCGCATCATGCTCGCGCACATTTCTGGCCAGTATTTAGCTGCTACGCTATCTGCAGCAGCTGCCGATAGTCCCGTTTCTTCCTTGGGAAGGACACCACCTGTTCACGCTCCGTGAGTGCACCACTGGCTCCGCGGCGCAGCTCAGTCGAATTTTATCCACCGAACAGACGAAATGGCCTCTGCGATGGCTGGGATCGCCGCCACGCTGCTGGTGGTAGTCGCCGCGATCAGCACAGGTCAGGTCGGGTCAGAGGTCATCAGACAGCGGAAAAGACAATTTTGACGCTGATAGACAGTAGACATGTTTGTCGAGTGAAACTATGTGTGCTTGCTTGTCCATTTGTATGTATGTTTGTTTGATAATTGATTATTGTTTGTTTGTTTGTTTGTTTGTTTGTTTGTTTGTTTGTTTGTTTGTTTGTTTGTTTGTTTGTTTCTTTCTTTCTTTCTTTCTTTCTTCCCTTGTTCTATTCTTAACGTCTTACTGAAAATAGCTACAGAGGTATGATGGAAGTTAAATTTACGAGTATAATGTTTCTTTGTCAAAAAGATCAAGATGAGTGCCTTGTTACCAATATGAACGCCTTTTGTCATTAGGCATCACCATCAAAGTAGTCATGCACACATCTATTTTTTTACTCCAATATCTATACTGACCGACCTGTGCCGTTCCCCTGTCGGCAGCGGAGGGTGCGTGTCCGGCCGAGCTGAACCTCGACTGGAGAGAGTACGACGGCAACTGCTACTGGTTCTCCACGTTCAGGACCTCGTGGCTGGAGGCCAGGAAGGCGTGTCAGACCGAGTACCCGGGCGCCGACCTGGCTGCCATCCACCACCTGTGAGCACTAAATCTTACCGTAACTGGCACGGGTAATGCTTCTGCGGGGCATGGGGACGACTTCGTGTAATTCACATTGTTATGTTAGGAATAGAAGTTCCCAACGTTTTATAGCATAATATAGCATAATAGATATTAATTAGGTCAGTGGGCAGGTGCAGGACTTTTTTGTTGATTTATTTATCGAAAATTAAAATAAAAACTCACTTATTCGCATGCTAGAAAGAAGTTGTGGGGATGAATAAAAATTGGAGTTGTTTTTCAGTGGATGACGTGAACCGTCATCCGCTGTCATACAAACCACGATACAAATATCACTCTGTATCGCCGCCAGTGAGGAGAACTCGTTCATTTCGGAGACGTTCTCCGGGAAGGACGCCTGGATCGGCCTCAATGATCGGGACCACGAGGATCAGTTCAGCTGGTGCAACGGCGACCCCGTCGACTTTCTGGTAATGAACTGCATGCTTCTGCATGGTTCAACTTAGCCATCATACAAACTTTTATCGATTCAGTCGAATGCCTAATAGAATACGTTAATTCTGTTATTGAATATGAGTTAGATTAATAAGTCACGGAGTTTAAGCATGCGAGCATGATAGGTTACCTGACGATCATCGCCTACCGGCCCGCTCAGACAGGGCGACCATGAATAATTATCTGTTTTTCCACGTGCCGACTGCTAACTATTTCTTACGCACCGCGTAGCTTGCCCCACAAGGTAGGTGTCTGATCTGTCCCACCCCTCGCTGCTGATCACCCGTCTTTGCTGTCCTGCAGTACTGGGCCAGGGGCCAGCCGGACCCCCTCGCTGCTGATCACCCCTCTCCTGTCCTGCAGTACTGGGCCAGGGGCCAGCCGGACGATCTGTGGTTTGACCAGGACTGCGCCCACATCGACTACGACAGCTCCACCGGCCAGTGGGACGACGAGGACTGCGACGACGAAAAACACTTTGTCTGCAAGGTGGCCAGCGTCGCGGCTTAGTGGCTGGGGTGCTACAGAAATATCACATTTGAATGATGGAACTACATGGTTTTAGAGCAGAGGCAGATGCGAAATATAACGGAATACGAATAGAATCCAGTGTGTGAGTTGTTATGTATTGTGCGTTGATGTCGATTTTTATGGTTTACGTCTCTATAGGTACAAAGACGGAAATGCCATGCAGACGCATGTTTCGAGGCCATGCTCCTTAGCAACATTCGCAGCCATTTGACCAAAAGGTAGGTAAGCCTTCATCCGAAAATACGTCTATATGCGTCTTCTCAGTTCTCACGCAAGCCCGCGCCCGGAGCATAGGCGGAGGAACGGGGAGGGCACCGTGCCCACCTTTGATTTTGGCATTTTTTGCTTGATTTTGGCATGCTAAAATTTAACATTAGCCCTATGGGCGTTGCATGGAAAGAATGGGACCAAAAGTCGGCAGTGCCCCCCCCCCCCCTTAATTGACGGTGTTCCGCCGCTACTGGCCCGGAGGCCGGATGGGGGTCTCAGCCAACTTCGCCAGGATGCGGAGGGCGTAATTTGGCCACATTCGTTTAGTATATAGTTTATTAACCCGCGCCCTGCTGGGGGGGGGTGTTTGAACACCCCCCCTGTGGTTTTTCGCGAATATCTCAAAAACGGCGGCGCGGAGCGCCGCCGTTTTTGGTACACCTTATCATACATCAATTCTACACATGTTGTGAAAATTTCAGACCAAGGTCATTCAAGGTCAGGTCACCAGGTCACTTGAAGTGACCTCACCTCATCAAAACTTTCAATGTCTGTCATAGCTACACCGAGTGACCGATCGCTTTGAAACTTTCAGCGATTGCTAAGAGCAATAGCATGTACAAAATGTATATCTCAGAATTTCGATATCGATGACCTAAGGTCAGGTCAATTTTGCGACCTCCCCATTATAAGTCAATGGGAGAAAATTGAAATACGCCTCATTTGGATGAAAGACATTATAAACACTCCCAAACACCGAATTACAAATGGTTTAGACACACTGAACTTGAAAATGGTGTCCGTGACCCTTGTTTATGCCCTGAGGTCATCTTAGGTCACGAATGGTATCTAACAGTTTTTCGCAAATAACTTTTGATAGAGGCATGCTAGAGCGATGAAAACGCCTTAGATGTGTTCAGCTCGACGATACGGATCGACTGATATGCAACATGACCCTTTCCGGTCAGGTCATGACCTTGACCTGAGGTCAAATTTTCAAGTTGACCTTTCAAGGTCAAGTTATAGTTCATTCGATGCGTCTTGACGAGAGGAACACGATGCCGGTAAAAGTAAGCTCGTACATGGCTTGGGTCAAAAGTTATTGCAGAAAAACTGTTTTCGAAAAAATCGGTTATTTTTGCAGTTTTTGCCCCCTGCAGGCAAAACCGTTGACGTTAGGTCAAATCTGAGAGAATTACTCAGAAAGGGCGTTAATAGGGCTATCGAATGCGCTTTTCTGCGGCGCTGTAGCTCTATTGGTTCCCGAGTTATGCGTTGGCTTCTTGGAAATTTTCGACATTGGACCTGGAAATTGGCGAAATTTTGCCTTCAATGACCTCTGGTGACCTGACCTTTGACCTGACCAAAAAATTGACCGAAGTGATTTCGTCATTATTTTTGACGCTCTTTCGAACGCCGCCTTCCGCGTATCGCTACGTGGCCCAGGAGCCGAGTTACAAGGGGGGGTGTTCAAACACCCCCCCCCAGCAGGGCGTGGAAATCCAGGACCCCCAGCAGGGCGCGGGTTAAATCACGGAGCATAGCCATAGCATCGCTGATCGCGGTCAACGCTCGCGGTGTCCTTACCCCACGGCGGAGCTCGGTTGCAATTTGTAAATACGCTCGCGGTCAGGTAGGTATTTTTGGAGCAAAGCCATTGGGACTTTGCATTGATTGCAGGACCGTTTTGTTCTATTTAAATGAAATGATCCAACAAATAAGAAATGGTGCCCTTTCAGAAGACGAGTGAGAGCGCATCAATTGGTGTATTAAAGTATAAAAAACTGGCCAGTAGTTTCAGATCATGTATGTATCTACTACCTACTTGTCTAGGACTCGTCTGCTAATCGTGTCTGCTTTTTAGACATCCACGACATAACTAACCACAGACATACCTAACTAACCACATTCTAGGATGTAAATCCTAAAAGAGTAAATGACACCTGCCTGAAAGCCTCACGTAAGTATTCTTTCGAATGATAAAATAAATTATAATAAGACATCTGGTTAAAAATTTCATATCAAAACGTCATCTTCTAAATTAGTCTGCTTTTTAGATTCCTACATCCACACGCGAGCCAATGACCGTTCGCAAGTTCGCAACAACTAGTTGCCTAGAAACTTGTGTGTATAATCTTGTGCTTTGTGTGTATGAACACTGACTCGCGGGTTATTTGATTTTGTTGATGTTTGTTTCAAGGTAGGTACGTGCCAAGGCTATATAAACCAGGTAGAACGCTCCGGGAAAAAAGTTGGAAACAATAAATTAGTTGCAGCATTCCCTGATGACGCGAATGTGGGTCAGCGGCCGGCGGCCGGCGGCCGCTAACACTGTATGAGGATGAGTGCACGGAACTTTTGCTTGTTGGAGATTGCGCTAGGCAGTTAAATGTTAATGTTAGGATATGTTTCGAAAGTAAATTGAAGGACGCTTCGAATGCCGTCAATGAATTTGCGATGCGACGCGTATTTGTTTAGTTAGAGCCGGCGAACTTTTACCTTCCGACCGCGCGGGGAGGCGATATGGTGCCACACTGACGGTTTTTAAGATAGCTCAAAATTCTTTTAAGCTAAAGAGCTGAAATTTGACTCGTCTAATCTTTTGATCAAGCTGGATCTTCTGGTACAGGTCGCATATTTAAGGTGCGTCAGGTTGTTGACCTATGTTGTCGCTCGTGAGCCTCTGCACAGTCCAAAAACAATGCAATTTCTGAACACTCAGTGCCAAGAAATCCTTCACACAAAGATGACACTTGGCAGAAAGAAGAGCCGTCGGTTTCTTATCGTTCGTATGTGTCGTGTTTTCACAAGAGTTTAGTAAGGTCAGGTCCGTCACGTGACCTCCCCTCATAACTCAATAGGTTTACTTTCATAGAAGCGTTTATCAATCGCCGGAAATCTTAGCCAATCCCACTGGACACTGGATCCATACCCACATGGGGCCCTCCTGACTGGCCACTCCCTCTGAAATTCACAATAACATTGGGCTGCGGCCACGGTTATGTATTAATGCTTTTCACTGACAGAAATACAACAACTTCAACCACCACAGTGCACGCCGCCACAACAGTCCGACCCACGTCCCTGATATCGACTAGCACCCGGCCGGATGCACATACGCGGAGCCAACCAGTCCGAATGTGACCTGAAGCTTACAATTGCTGTGTCGCATGGCGCATGGCACAGGACGATTTCTAGCAGCTGTCGGCTGAAGTGGAGAAACAGCACGTTGCGACACACCGCGCCGGCGACAGAGCTCAGCAGGGCTGGTTTGAGGCTAAAGCCGGAGGACAAATGCAGGACAAATAACAGGATGTCAGTTAGGGATATAATTCAAGACGAATGATTTAAGACGGACTGAAATAATGCACATTCTGCTCACTTAGATACCAACTTCAAACTTGACATTTATAGCACCACGGAAACAATTGGCACACAGAAAAGAAACAAAAGATGAGGTGTTTTTAACTCAAGGAGGTAAAAAGAGGTTGCATATCCCAGTAAACATGCCGACGTCGGCCCGACGTCGGCCGACGTCGGGGTAACGTCGGCAACTCGGCATCGGCATGCCGACGTCGGCAAGACGTCGGTCCAACCTCGGCACGACGTCGGCTGGATGTCGGATATGCCCGCATGTTCCGACGTCCAGCCGAGGTCCAGCCGACGTCGGGCCGACGTCGGACCGAGATCAATTGCTGAGGTCCAGCCGACGTCGGGCCGACGTCGGGGCGACGTCGGACCGACATCGGCCGCTGTTTTGACCGTTAAAATGATATAAAATACATGTTTCATGTTTCATAAAGAGCTTCTGTATTCAAAATATCCTCAGGAAACTCAAATCTTCCTCCACGCCGCAACCCCCTGATCCGGACTGCACGGGAAACTTTATCCCATTTGGGATTGCTCGTAAGCCGAGCTCGCCCGTAGCCGGGTGCGGTGAGTGCTTGGGGGCTGCTCGGCCTATCCTTTGGTCAGGCTCAGCCCCGGCAACTCACCAGGGCCGGGCCCAGTTCATATAGAAACAGGGGCGCGGGAACTACTTTTAGACTGGGGGGCACACCATGATAGAGATCAACCTAGGGTACCCCCAAATTTAGTTTTCTCGACGGTTTTAGGCCACTTATTTTTCATCTTTTGGCTTTTTCAACAAAAAAGAAAACATTTGCAAAAAAAGTGCGGTATTCCGTCTTAAAGTTGTGGGGGCACAGCCCCACGGCCCTAAAGTTAGGGGGGCAAGCTGCCCCCACTGCCCCCCCCCCGGTTCCCGCGCCCATGTATAGAAAGGCCAGTCGGCAAGTGTCACTTTGCCAAAGTGCCACTTATCAAAGGGACACTTTGGGAAACGTTGGTGCAGGTGTGTAAGAGTGGCTATATGAATCAATTGTGGGGTCGCCCTTTCCAATAAGTGTCACGTAACAGCATTGGGACCAGGGACTCTATATGAACTGGACCCAGGGTGCTCGCCAAGAAGACCAATGTCTCCATCCTATGATCCTTCCGGCTCTGAAATGGTCTTGTCAGACCGAAAGGGCATAACCCAACAAAACAAACCCCATTCGTTACCTGGCTGCGTGGTGTAGTGGTTAGCGCACTAACGTAGCGTTCGTATGACACGGGGTTCGAATCCCCTAGCCGGCTGATGCTTTTGGCGTGTTGTCCCAGTAAACAGGCCGACGTCGGCGACTGGGGGGCTCGAATCCCGCCGCCGGTTGATATTTTTGGCGCGTTGTCCCAATAAACATGCCGACGTCGGCCCCGTCGGTCCAACGACAAACGATCTCGTCAACCTCGGCAAACGATCTCGGCCCGACGTCGGCTCGACGTCGGCTGGACTTCGGCTGGACGTCGGAACATGCGGGCATATCCGACGTCCAGCCGATGTCGGGCCGAGGTTGAACCGACGTTGGGCCGACGTCGGGCCGAGCCTCAGCCCGACGTCGGGCCGACGTCGTCATGTTTACTGGGTATGATGGAACAGCCCGAAGTGCAGACAAGACAAGCACATATTTTTGGTAATAGCTATCAGCTGTCCTACTTCTCTTCTCCCTTCACCAACTACTGGACACATTTGAAGCATCATATTAGCACCAATGTCCATAACAAAAGCTTGCAAGTAGTTTTATGAAGCCAAGGGAAATATGCCTACATCATGCATGTAAGCTCAAAATGCATTACAAAGGAAGGTTATCTAAAGAGAATAGTGGGCAAAAGCATTTCATAGTTAAATTATTCAAAACTGCACACAGGGCAAACATAAAAAGCAGCAAGTGTAGTGTTCTGTTATGCTTAAAAATAGTCCAAAACAAAATACAACCTTTTCTTGTTTGAATTGGTTGTTCTTCTATGCCACTTCATCCATATCTTGATTACAGATGGGCTGTTACTGTAGGCTGATGAAGTGACACTTGATTGCCTTTGTGCGAGTTTCAGTTGCAGCCTCCTAGGTACTGCACTGGAAAGCAGATTGAATTGAATGCCTCTGAAAGATAGGAATATAGGCAAAGTTAGCTGTAGTAGTGTCAATGATAAAAGACATGACATTTCTGTCTTTTGACATACATTTGTTGAAGTACAAAAAGGTACAAAATAAATTGGTTTGTTTCAAGACACGCACACTGCACAAAGCCGCACAGACATTACACAAGCATATGAAATTGGTACACATAAAACTTGATGATCAAAAAGGTCAAAACTAGCAACAATAATTAATTGAAGTAAAAGTTACAATCACAATCATTTGATTTAAAATGACTTGACAAAGTCACAAGACGCAACGCTCCTTTTCACTTAAGAAAAGTTTTTATGCTTTCATTATCCTCCACATATCAACCAGCTTGATACCAGGCTGTGCAATAGTGGGTGCATAACCCCATGTTTCCATTTTATTAGAGCAAGTGGGGTTACAACAACAATGCTAATGTCAAACCCACATCTGCAACGCGTACTGAAGTATCAATCACCTTACAAGAACACCTTCTGGCAGTTTGATGGGCAGAATGGTCATAACTACTTTCTCCTCATATTCAACACAAATTATCTATTATACAGATACAGTTTAGACTTGGTTATGGCAAGCATTTTCGAGAAAAGATATGATAAAAGTCCAAGACAAATGTCGAGAGAAACAACACCAACATAAAACACCGACTATGTAGCACTAATACTATCAAATTCATAAAAATATATACATGAGTCGATCAGAAATTCACTGTAGATTTCGAAAATGGTGTCAAATGCCACTCAAATACCCCCATTCGCATGTACGAAGCAATATAACACTGACCTTCATTTCCGTGTGCCATTCTCCATAGGCCACTGTGTATTAAATAACGCGTTCACTGATCGCAAAAAAATGAGACCCACATATGACGCGTTTGCTACCAGCCAATCAGCGCTCGAGATGCCGAGCGCTGATTGGTGGAGAGGGCCGTCGTCAGCAGTCCATTACATGTTGTTTTCCTTGAACATATACGTGAGCAGCTGATGCTGCTCACGGGTTGTTTCCATTTTTCGTAATGCTGAAGGCACGGGAGCGAACCCCCCTGGTACGTGCTGCCGTTATTATGTCGGGTGTATGCTATTTATTTGAATTTTTAGATGTTACGGTTGAAGTTGATTTCAATGTTATTTTAGTTTGAGTTGCTTTGCTTTGACCAATATCAGCTACATGAGATATCTAAAAGCACCTGTCCCTCTGCGTCGTGAATGTCACAGTCGTTTTATTTGCAAAGTCAACTAAAGCAATAAGAACAGCCAAATCTTGCTTTATATAACCAAACTTGCACTCATTTCACACCTACTCCAGGCTTACCTACCACCACAACCCCTTGTTATCACTGGAAACCTTGCTCTGGCTGAAGGCACGAGGCAAGACTTCGTTAATAGGTATAGCTCCGAGAATTGAGGAACCACACATGGTTACATGGTACCGAGGTAAGCTAAGAGTAGATGTTCAAGAAGTGAGTGAATATTGGATCAAGACAGTATTACTGTCTTGACATGCAAGATTCTTTTGTAGTGCTTCACAATTTCAATTTCATAATAGCTTGATTAGCACTATAGCTGGTAGCGTAATGACTGCAACTGCCAATCACAACAAACCGATGTACATTGTACAATGCACTGTACAATAAATTATGGTATAAGGTCACCATACGTTGATGCTGCTTAGCCTGAAGCCTCGATAGCTTCAAACTAGGTAGAAGATCAGAAAATAGTTTGCAATCCACATTCATTAAACACATTTTTGAACTGTCACAGAACATTTGAACAAAATTCTGAACATATTTGTGAACGCCATATGTTAATGTTTAACTGTTTATTTTTATATATTTATGTTTGAGTGCTTGAGGTCAGGTGATGTGCAAAGCTTTTTAGTCCTATTTTAAGTGATATAGTACCTAGGTATTTGAATTATGTACCTATGACACTTCACACTTTTCCACAACAATGCTTCATTGTCATAGTATGATCATTTAGGCATCACATCTGCATGATAATGCCTATTATTTTTTGTAAACCATACTCCATAGATTGTTGATGTTGATGCCTACATTTTCTCCTCCAGGAACTCTTTGACTGGTGAATGGTGTATACAATACAAGTGAAACTAACTTGTGGACATCTGTGAAATTTAGAAATGACCTCCACTGATATGACAGCAGATGATATCTACCAGAAACGTAAGTTGGCATGCTGCCTTCTGATCTGATCAATCTGAAGCTCTGCTGCCTTCTCTGCTTCCCTGAACTCTGGCCATGTTTTGGTCAGACTTCAGCGCACATGCACGATGTAACTTTGCTGCTAATTTGGTAAAGCTTTGCTCCTATGATGTTAATTGATAAGTGTATACCTTTTCATAGATGTTGTGTATGTATGATTTGATATTTTTCAGCAGTTTTATCACATACATTGATGTACAGCCCTCAGCAAACGGCGTGGTAGGTATTCTTTTTTACAATACCGAGGATAACGTGAATGCTATGCTATCAGTCACTCGGAAACCGTAACAGCAAGACGCGCGAGACTCCGCACCTTAGATTGGCATTATCATGATATTCGTTTTCCATCCGGCTAACAAGCCCCCAAAGCAAACTTTGCCTTATCTTGCCACACAAGGCGTATACTTTGTTTAGTGATAGGCCCAATCAAAGGAGTGGAGCATGACGCATCTATTTGCATTGAGTTCCGACCGACTGATAACAGCCTTTGAGTTATTTTCGGTTTTGTGAAAAAAGTATGCCTACCACGTAGTCTGCTGAGGGTGGTACCTAACCTACACACCTGGCCAATTATTGGTGGTAAAATTAACTTTTTAGATATTAACAAATTAACTTTTTAGAGATCAACTAACCTGAGGAAAAGAATAATGACGCTTCGGCAACATGTGGTAAAATACTGAATACCTTTTACTTTTTCGTACCAATCAACATACCATCAATAACTATTAATTTATCATCACCAGTGAATTGTTGTCCAGCCTTGTTAGCGGTATCAGGTAACGTGTTCCATATTTGTCACCATAAAGCCCTGCTACCGTCTCTGCTTCCCTGTACCTCTGAGCTAACAATACCACCACTGCGACAGTGCACCTGTCGTTCCCGTTTCTTGCGATCCGGAAGGAGGACGCCCGCGACACCCCGGAGCTGACGCAGCTGCTGCTAACGCTGGCCAATCATGTGGATGAGACGGGCACCTCTCGCAGGTGGGTCACTGGTGCTCCGAGCTGACGGGATAAAATTGATCACAGTTTGGGAGTGTATGGACGTGGTATGACGACTAGATGAACTAGATGAATGATCTAGAAGTATTTTCATCACACGCATCGAAATCTTTTAATTTTAAGTAGTTATTTATGGAGGGAGGATGCAAGTCTTTTTGCTCGTTAAATTTTCATTCAAGTTTTCACCCCACCAATCAGTATTCGGTTTCACCTGTGTTTACAAGCCCCACCGATGACCTCTGCCGTCTCCCGCCGCAGTGTGGCGGCTGAGCTGCGGTCGGAGCGGGCGCGCCTAGCCGAACAGATGCGCTCCTGGCACGAGAGTCGTCTGCTGCACACGCTGCTGGAGGAGCTGGCCGTGCGACCCGCCGCGGCAGAGACGGCCGCCGACGATCAGGTGGGACCCGGCGCCATGATGAGGCAGGGTGCGGGGGTTCGGACCGGCGCCAACGGAGGCGTTCAGGGGAGTATCGGTGGAAGTGCCTCGTGCTAATTTTGATTAACAGGTTAGCTTGGTGCATGGCATTACAAACGTATTCACTTATGTAGTGTACGGAGCGGCCATTGGTGGCGCTGGTGTCGTGACCTGTGAGAGCAATAAACAGTTGACCGCTACATCTGGTGGCAGCGGTGGGATTCGAACCCACGCCCTTTCGGACTGGTGGAACGCTTCAATCGTACTCTGTTAAAGGTAGTGTGCCACCTTTGAAAGATTTTCCATTTTATTTTTCTTAGGATAAGAAGCTTCTGTTTTTACCTAATATCGCAAAAAAAATCAAAAATGGGCCTGGAATAGTGCCTTTTTCGCCTAAAAGTTTATCGGTTTTTCGATATGTATAACAACTGTAGTGGGCTGACCTGCAAACAGGCGTCGGCAACAATCGCGAATGCGGCGCACATGTGACAATAAGCAAAGGTCATTATAGAGTTGCGACATACGGGAATGAGTTATCAGCTGTCTAATCGTAGACAACACAATGTCGAGCCTTAAACTGTAAGCCTGTATTGGTGTTGTTTCTTTTATTTGGCTGTCGAACATTATTTATGGTTTGAAATATGATTTTATGTAAAATAATTGATATGAAAAAGCCGTCTCTTAAGTTATGACCCCATTTCACCACACGCAAGTGGCAGAAATGACAATGATCAGCTGACGCATTTTTCTTGCGACGAAGTCAGAGCGCGCGGCCCGACGCACCACCACCGCACCACAAAGTATGAGCAGAAGCCGCGCCCAAAGCCAGGGCCCCGGTAACGTGAGGTAGCCGAGTCGGGGCAGCGTGCGCTGACCCAAGCCGGGGCCGCAGCTTTGGGCGCGGTCTACCGCATCCCCGCGGGCAGCCCCGGGCTATCACATGACACCGGGAGGACGCGCGGCCCCGGCTTGGGTCAGCGCACGCTGCCCCGACTCGGCTACCTCACGTAACAGGGGCCCTGGCTTTGGGCGCGGTCTACCGCACCACCTAACAGGCGTGTTCGAAACCGCAGGAGATGATGATGAACGGGTTTATCGAAACTTGATTGGATGAGCATATCGGTAATAGCGATTTCAGTGCGTGCATTTATTGTTCATAGTGGTGTGAAATGTGGTTGGGGTACGACCGACAACCCGTCGGGGCGAATTTCGCACTGGGGTACTCAAAATTTGAAGAATTTAAGACGTTTCCATGAGTTTTGAAGGTATGGATAAGTTCTAAAAATCCGGTTCTCCTTATCTGGGCCATTAACTCCATACGGTCCAGGAAAAGCTGGCACACTATCTTTAAATATGATTCGATCGTACGTAGACGAGCAAAAAGAGTGCTGGGACAAACACTTGCAGGCGTTAGCATTCGCTTATCGCACCGCGGTGTGCGAAACGACGCAAGCGACTCCGTTTGAGCTGGTGTTCTGCAGGCGCGCGCAGCTCCCGATAGACACCATGCACTCGAGCATGCGGTCCGCGGCGGATTCTGGTCTGATGCGCAGGCTGACCGATGTGCGTACGGGAGCCCGTGATGTGTCGCGGCGGGCGGCGGCGAAGCGAGCACGTGACTATGATGCTGCAAAACACGTAAAAATTCGCGGGCTCAAGGTAGGCGAAGACATGTTTTGGAAACGCCCCATCAGGCAAGCAGGTGTATCGCCTAAACTTCAAGCCATATGGTCGGGGCCTTTTGTTGTCGTTCAGAAAATGTCTGATGTCAACTATCGTATCGAAGACAATGAAGGGAAAACTGTCGTCGTCCATGTAAATAATTTAAAGGCGTCTCATGTTCCGCGTGACACTGTCCGCGCGGGTGCAGTTATTCGTATGCGTGGTAGACCGAGGCAGAGACGCTGAGTGTGTGACAGCGGTGTGTCACGTTTTGGTTATGTTTCTTTTCTTGAAGGGGAGGAGATGTCGCAACTTGGTGGGGAGGTGTAGTGTACGGAGCGGCCACTGGTGGCGCTGGTGTCGTGACCTGTGAGAGCAATAAACAGTTGACCGCTACACTTAGCAATTCGCTATAAATGAGCGCGCTCTCCACCTCAGGCTCTCCCGGGCTCAGACTCCACCTCCACCTCAGGCTCACAGCGCACCCGCCCACGCTCAGCCCCTCTGACCGCCGCTTTTCCCCCGCCCGCCGCAGCTGCGGGAGGCGGTCGCCGAGGGCCTCTCCCTGGCCGAGCTGGCCGACGCGCTGCCGCTGTCACCCCCGGCCGCGGACGGAGCCCCCTCGGAGGACGAGCCCACCCTGCTGGGCCTGACCCCGGACCAGCTGGCGCCCTCCGCAGAGTGCCGACAGACCCTGGCCCGTCTGCCGCGCGCCCTCGACCGCCAGCTGAGCCGACTGGGCCGCCGCTGCGCCGCCGCCGTCTGCGCAGACGACAAAGGTACGATTGACAGGCTGTGGAAAAGGCGTGTATTGTTGAAATGGGTGGTGACTTGTCGAATTTTCAGATATCGACAATGCTGCTTGTGTGGGCCATGGTCTGATGACTCGAACATACAGGGGTGTGCAGTGTGCACTAGAATCCGGAAAAACTTAAACTTGGTGTATCATATAAACTTTTTTAAATATATCACTCTTCTTTTCCTCATAGGTTTGTGACTTGAGTCGCCTTCGATCGGAAACAAAATAAGTAGAAATGTCCTCTGAGTTAGAGCGCCGCACCGCGATTTTTGTGGCCCTCCGTTGCGGCCGCGCGCCCAAGGAAATTTTGGACTTCTTTCAGTTCCGTAAATTGACCGTGTATGACTTTGCGAAGTTGCTCAAAGAGTCTGAAGAGACGATGAGTGAGTCTCTGACTCCCAAGAGGAAGGAACAGGGCCGATTCGAGGTTCGGAAGCGGAATAAGGACTTCTTGGAGCAGCCCGAGGCCATTTTTGGAGAAGGTCCGAGCCTGCCGATGCAGAAGGTGACTTCAAGGCTCAATCTGCGCAGGACAACAGTTCTTCGTGTCATTCACGAGTATCTCCGACATCATGAGCTACGTTTTCGAGGTGAGGCAGATGCTCTCAAAAGTCATAAAGACCAGGAGACTCGGAGATGTGAGCTGCTCATCACTTCTTTGAAGCACAGAGCTGCCGGCCGGATCCGCTTCTTTCCCTACGAGAAGATCTTCTGTGTCCGTGCGACCACAATCTCTGGGGCGTCCTTGAGAGAGAGTCCAACAAAGGAACTCACAACACTTTCGACTCCCGGAAGACCGCCTTCATCCAGGCCGTGGCCAATTTAACTCGGGAGCAGGTCACCAACGCCTGCGGCAGGTTCCGGCGTCCTGTGGAGGCTGTGATTGGAGCTGGAGGGGGTTGAGTCGAACGATAGTACAGAGGAGGGATTAGTCTTCGCTATAAAAGTAAAATTTTTGAAGTGAAACCTTGCGATACCAAATAAACGCCTTCAGTTCTTTCCCTTAGTTTTTTTTTTCCGGATTCTAGCGCACACCCCTGTAAATGGGCAGAAGCAAGGTGTATCTCTTGCCGCGACATGTGCCCGCTTTGTGTCACACAACCTCTCGATGCTAAATAGCTGGTATCCATTGTAAACCTGAACAGTGAACATGTCTAACTACGCTTCATTTCTAGATGGATTTCATCCCACGGAAATATGCTTGTGTGATGTTTGCCCACAGCTCTAGCAGCACCCGTCCCCGCTGGCCCCCACCTGAGCACGCCACCCGTGTCCTCCCCAGACTCTGAGGACGTCACTGGCCGCCTGGTGCGGCTGCCGTCGGAGCTGGAGGAGCTGCAGCAGCTGCGGGACACCACCTCACGTCAGCTGGCGGACGTGCTGGAGCGCAGGGACACCCAGATCCTGCGCCAGAGCCAGCTGATGGCGCGCCAGCTGGAGATGCTGCTCAACCTGGTAAGTTGCTGGGGGTCTGGGGGTCTGATCCTGGTTAACAGAGGGTCTAGGGGTTCTGTTCTGATCCTGGTAAAACGAGGGTCCCATGGACCAGGGTCTGCACCTGATAAATACAGGGTTTAGGAGTCTTAACCTGGTAAGTAGAGGGGTCTAGGGGCCAGGGGGTCTGATCCTGGTTAACTGAGAGTCTAGGGGGTCTGATCGTGGTAAATAGAGGTGTATCGGGGACCAGGGTCTGAATCTGGAAATATAGGGTTTAGGGGTCTGGACCTGGTAAGTTGCTGGGGGTCTAGGGGGTCTGAACATGGTAAATAGAGGGATCTTAGGGTCTGAACCTGGTAAATACGGGGGTCTAAGGGGAGTGTAAGCATGGCGGTGACAGAGAAATGCCAGCATGTTGTAGGATTCGGGGTTACCAGGAGCTGGTAGGCTGTCTGAGAGTAATCGTCTCAGGAAAGGCAGGATGTCGAAGAATAGGAGCCTATATAGTTCAAATGACCGTCGGGTGAATGTGAGGCCGTCAGAGGTCGAATATATGTCATGTTGGCTGGATGTCAGGTGGAAGTAGCAGGAGTCAAAACTCGCGCAAAATCATATTTCTGTTTTACTTGGCTGTGACGTGCGGGGTTATTGGTTTGTTACCTTACCTTGTATGTTGCACCGATAGGTACTAGGGCGTGAGGACTGATGATTCACTCGCTGTAAGTGGCTTATGGAGAGTTACAGCACGGGCCTAATTTGTTTCAGATAAACAAGCACAAACTGGAGCACAAGGTGGAGCTGGAGCGGAAAACCATCGACCACCTGACGAGCAGCATCCAGGGTATGCTGCTGAAGACGCGTCAGCTGACGCTGCAGATTCAGGTGGAGACGTACACGGAGGGTTGCCTGGCGGCGCTGCGGGCCGCCGCGCGCCACCTGCGCGCAGAGAGCGGCCGCCTCGACTCGCAGCTGAACGCGGCCAAACACCAGCTGAGCGCCAACGAGGCGGCCGGGCCGCAGTTCGCCGAGCTGGCGCGCCGCTACCGCGAGCTCTGCCAGGAGGTGGACCACCGGCGCTGGCTGATCGCCGAGATGGATACTCTCGGAGGAGCGGGAGAGGGCGCCGCCGGAGCCGGGGAGGGAGCTGCGCAGAGGTAGGCTGGTGGCGCCGCCGGTGGACAGTCCCTGAACTGAGAGTGATATGACGGACCATAGATGGCGCCTTGGTGCTCTATATTGTGCTTCGAACGAACGCAGAAACAGTGCAGTGAGTGGAGTACTTCCAGAATGCAGACATATTCTCTTAGTGTAACATGTCGAGTTGCACCGAAATGAGCGAGTGATGTATGTGTATTGTTTCATTTGTCCGAATGCATTATACTATGAATGGGACCATTGCAGTAGCTCTGCTCGCCCTTTGAAGTGTCTCATGCTTCGTGCTACGGAGAGGTTTTCACATTGCACAATGCCCATCCCTGACGACAGCAAGGTGGTACATGCCTGCGAGATTTCGTGCCTTTAGTGTGCGTGCTACCCTTCTCAATGGTAACTGGCCGTTTGTAAAACATTATGGACCATCGTGGGCCATGACGCCTCGAGTCCCAGCATTACTAACTCTGCGTCTCGTCCCTGGTCCAACCAGCGACAGCAGCGAAATACATTTCAAATGTGTATATGTTACGGGTCATATGCTAACTTGGGAAGTATGCAGACTGCCCGGGCAGTATGCAAACTACCCAACAGCCCGGGCAGTATGCATACCGCCCGGGTAGTATGCATACTACCCGACCCCTTGGGCAGTATGCATACCGCCCAAAAGCTTGGGCAGTTTGCATACTGCCCGCTTCTCGTCTTGAAGTTGTGTATTCCATGTCCACTTTAAAAATAAAAATGGCTCTCTGAGTAACGTAGCCTACGAAATCTGTTTTGCCGTCAAACGCAATTTATCGATTGAAGGATCTTAGGATAAAATAAGAATGGGAATAAGAATGGGACTTAATTTTTTCCCCAGCATTTCATTGTTTATTAGCCAGCGGCCAACAAGTCATTTTCATCTGAAATTAAGACAGTTCTATAGTTCCATCACTCGCTGGCTTTGATTTGGCATCTGGATATGTAGAGGGCGTAAGCACAGTTTCAATAGCTAATGCTGCATGAGACCATTTGCATGTAAGGCGTAACAAGTTCTTGTGGTCAGGTTACTACAGGGCAGATCAAGTGACTTTACCCCAGAAAAGTTAGAACTTGTTCGCCATAGCTACCCCGACTGAACGATCGCTTTAAAACTTTCAGCGATCAAAAACAGTAAAAGTATGCATAAAATGCATGCATTGGAACTTCAACGCCCAGCCAATGACCTAAGGTCAGGCCAATTTTGCACAGTCTCTTAGAAGTTGACAGGAGAAAGTTGAAAGATGCCTTTTTGGATAAAAGTCCTTCTAAACGCTCTCAAACATCGGGTTCTATGTAAACACCACACACTGAATCGGAAAATTGCACTTGTGGTGACCCCTCTGTATGACCATGAGGTCATGTCAGGTCATAACAGATCTGCAATAGTTTTTTTTAAGATTACTTTTTATGGAGACGTATTCGAGCGATGGAAACAATCTTAGATGTGTTTAAGTCGACGACAAGGTTTGCCTGATAACCAAAATTACCTTTTCATGTCATGTCATGACCTTGACCTTAGGTCAAATTTTAAAGTGGTCTCAAAAGCCAAATTATAGTTAACTCGACGCGTCTCGACGAGAGGAACACGATGCAGGCAAAGGCGCAATATCGTGCCTATCTAAGGTAAACTAATTTTGCCGTAAAATAAATCGTAAAAACAGCTTTTTTAAGCGTTGTTGCCCTCAGGAGGCTACACCATTGAACTTAGGTCAACTTTGAGGGCGTATTCCAGAAAGCGTTAAAAGAGCTACTGAATGCGTATTTCTGCGGCGCTTTAGCTCTGCTAGCTTCCGAGCTCGTGAGCCGATTTGTAAAAATGTTAAAAAGATGAAAATTGACCTTTGATGACGACCTCTGGTGACCTGATCTTTGGCCTGACCTAAAACATGTCTGGAGTTTTTCCCATGATTTTTTATGTTATTTTGAATGCCGCTTACCGCATCTTACATGCAGTTTACTCCTGTGCCGCCCAGTGGCACAGGAGTCGAGTTAGGGGTGTTCAGCCCCCCCCCCCCCCAAATAAAACGGCACGGCTGGCGCCGAGCGCGGCCCCGCGCGGGTTGAAGTGTCTGTCATTGACATAGTATGAAAGCAATTGCATTAACTAACCTCACGAGCCACGGTCAGCATACTGCCCGAGTAAACATCCTGCCCGTGAGAAGAAAGGTGGGTAGTATGCATACTACCCGGGCAGTATGCAAACTACCCGGGCGGTATGCATACTGCCCAAGGGGTCGGGTAGTATGCATACTACCCGGGCGGTATGCATACTGCCCGGGCTGTTGGGTAGTTTGCATACTACCCGGGTAGTTTGCATACTGCCCGAGTTAGCATATGGCCCGTAACATATATCAAATGTGTTGGAAGGCAGGGACGCGTCTGAATGGCGGAATATAGTCTTGCTTCAATTAAGAACGATTTATCATTCACTAGGCCATTGGACCTTCCTGTATTGTCCAACTAAAAAATACATCGATGCATGTGCAAAACAATGCCAGAAATGTCCTGATTACGGTGAAAAGCAATACCACATGTAGTAACGTCAGAACACTGAGTGACACGAACGAAAAGGGTACAGCTGCCATGTTTAGAGCGCTCAGCGCTATCAAAATAAAAATGTATCAAAATAAGACAATAGACGCATATAAGCTGCAAAGTAGTATAGTGTCAAAACAGTAACTACCAGTCAATGAACAATTAAGCATCACGATATCAAATGAAGGCAGCAGTCAAAGCGCGGGCAAAAACCTCGCAAAAGAGCACAAACTTGCATCGGTATCACAACCAATAATACTGAACACATTTCGCACTACTGCGGGGCTTTGGCTACTGCGCACGCCGGAACTACGAGGCGGGCTGGCTACTGGTCTATGGGGGCTCTCGAACTGCGCGGGAAGACCCCCAGGCCCCCTCCCCACCCGGCCCTCCATCACTACCCTGTACTGGGTGCGACAGTCCATAGGAACACCGCGTCGGCACCCGGCCGGTGTCGACCCCACTCCCCCATCCCCAGGCAGGCCAGTCCGGCCTTTGGCACTCACTTCTGATGGCGGCCGCTCAGTCCAGTGTGATGTCATCAAATAACTGATGACGTCACTAAGTACCGGCGGCACCATGTGTCCTTCCGACACGGCTATCAACATGCTGGCGCAATCGCCGGCAGCAGCCCTTCCGGCCGAAAACGGCTGCGAGCTCAATTCAGTTCACCTGACCTCAAGATTCAGTTCACACTTTCTGAGATACGCAGCATACAAAAACATCCATTGACTGTTCCCTTCCCCTTCCATAGGCGAGTATTCTCCGTTTCTTAGGCAAATCGAGACACCATGCATTCATTGTTCCTCCAAGTCTGTTGATACCATTTGCGTCCAGAGATTTGGTCGTCACAGCGATCTCATCGATTTGGGAGTTCTACGGTGCTCCTCAAATCACGATCACTCTGATCACCGTTTGTAGTTTGCTTGTCAGAGTTTGTAGTCACTGCATGGTCACCCAAGTCCCGTCACTGCACTGTGAATCACTGCGGAGCTGTCACTGCAGAGCCGTCACTGCAGGGCCCTCCGTAGGTCACTGGCGGGTCGCTGCGGGTCACTCGGGGTCGCCGCGGGGTCACTCGGCCGGCCAGGCCTGCCGCGCTGTAGCCATGGAGGACATGTCCGCCTGCCAGGCGCCGACGGCCGCCTGCGCCTGCGCCTGGGCCGTCGCCTGTAGCGCCTGCTCGCGCTGTGCGGCGCGACGCTGAGAGTTGTGGTACATGGACATGTGCACGCTCAGGCTGTTCTTGTTCTTGTAGACGCGGCCGCACTCGGGGCAGAAGACGTAGCTGTGGGAAAAAAACGGGGGGTTATCGGTGAGGTTCAGCGATGAAAGATTAACAAATCACGTTGACGAAGCAGCAGTAGCGGTACATACAAAAATTGTCATACAAACTCCCGAACACAACAAACTTAAAAGATAATACACACTAATCAAACATCAACTGGGTATCGTAGCGAAGTGTCCAGCGTGTCCAGTGCCCACGTTTCAGTCGGCCTTCAATGAAACCGCAGCTGGACCAGCCCAGCCAAACCGCCAATCAGCCCACCAGTTAGGCTGAGTCCGTCAGCAGCGGCGTAACGAGGCCACAAGGCGGGGAGGAGGGGTAAAAATCCACCCGCCCGCTCCCCAATGACTGCCACCGCAGCAATGCGGGGCGAGCGCGGCCGTTCGGCACGAGGGAAAGGTCTGTGGGAGACGGGCTCTGAAAGTGGCGTACCCGTGGCACGGGTCAAGGAGTTTCGTAAACGAATCGGTGGTCAGTTTGGGAAATGGAAAAATGCAGGAAAGCTTATTATTATGACAACCTTAATAATGTGTGACGAAGATTGCACAATAAGACAGGCATAAGAGCTTGAACATTAGGCAAGCAGATTGCAAGGCATATACCTACCTACAAGATTGTACGATCGGTTTAGAGCACACTCTGCTCACATAAATATTCAAGCCACTGAAGCACCTGCTTGCGAACACAATAGCAATGACAAGTCCCCGTAAAATACAAGGATAAGACCTTGGAATAAGTTAAATTGAAAACAAATTAGTCAATCTGGGATCGGAAAGGAACATTTTATGGCCACACCATGCCTAAAAGTGAGGGTAATGACATTTTAATCTGATGTCTCAAGTAGCCAAGATCGCATGTGATGGAGTTAATTGCAGGTTTTAGCTAAACCTGCTTCCTCCAAAGACTTTGCAAGCTGGTTCCCTGACTACATGTCTAAACCAATTTCTTGAGGTCAGCCTTTCCCTGTTTCAGGGCTACCCTTGGTGCGCATAAATTCGTGGAATCGTCAGACCTTGGAGTAACTAGCTCCGTGGCAGTGAACATCCCCCGCCACGGAGCGGGCTAACAACATTCGACCCTGCACTATTATTAGACGCTCGATATTCTTACCGACCCGCCTTTCTCCACCACACAACCTTGGATATGGATTCACCTGATGAGAAAGTAACGATCACTTTCTTAGCAGTTATTTCGTTAGCGTGGTATCTTACCTAGCTATGCAACGACTTGTGAGTCCAACATACCAAAAAATGGGGACGCTATATGTAAGGAGCGCGAAGGATACCAGTGACGTCACAGTGTGCCACATATACGGTCGGGTAGACTTACCTTGAAAAGGGGACGCGGAGTGAGCGGGAGTCGCGTCGGCGCGCGGGAGGTGTTCGCTGGTGTTG